TTGGACACCCTACGCACCGTAGTGCCGTTGTCCTGCCAGCACCAGAAGCTGTCCAAGATCGAAACCCTACGCCTGGCAAGAAACTACATCAACTTGCTGACCCGCATCCTGTCGTCCAGCTCCTCCCCGTCCAACGTGGAATACGCCTATTTGCTGTCGCGAGGACTGTCCCAGACGACTACAAACCTCATTGCGAACAGTCTACAAGTCCACCCGATGGCACTGATGCAGGAAGGTAACCCGCTGTCACCTGACCAGTCACAGATGCAACAGCTTCCCAGTTGCGAGGACTGTAGCAGCGTGCCCTGTGTGACCGACGCCTCCTGGAACCCGCCGTCCAGCTCGTGGTACTCCCAGCACGACTCGCTGAGTATTTCCGGTGAAGCAGGTTCTTCCATGACCAGCTCCACTCCCAGCCTCCTCGCCGCTGCCTACTGTCCGACTCGTCAGTACACATCAACGCCGTTCGGCAGCGAGTCGCCTCCTCAAGTGTCATTCGTTCCTTATTTGGAACAGTTCCAAAATGATTATACCACTCTGCCGTACGTACAAGCTGCAGCCGGTTCAGAGACTCAGCTTCTAACTACTTCCAGTGGCGTGCCTTACAATTCATCATCCGGCTTTGTTAGCGGCGGTACACAATCAAGCAGCGGTCACTTTGACCCCATGAACAGAAGTTTCTGACCGGTCCTTTGTTTTGTGAATTTTTGTGTTGTATTTTTTGCTGCTGCCAGTTTCACCTATGCCATTCATTTAAATCTCACCCGTATAAATAAATATTCAGGGCTTCATGAAATAGTCATATGGTTGTTCTTCATTCATCAGCATTAGCGTTTTAAATAACTCTTAACATCACTATCACCAATCATTGTAGACGGTAGGACAAATTCTACCTCCAATCGAACACTAATATGATTCTCAAACAAACTTGGTTTGAAAATAGAAAGATATTGCACAATTTTCTCTTTTAAAACTTTCGTTCCTCAAAATATTATTTTCCTTACTGAGAACCGTCTCCCTGATTTGTTAGGCCACCTGCATAATTAAATCAAAGACAAACGGCCAATGTCAGGAAAATCTAGCTTACTACTAATTCTTTGGCAGGATTCTTCGTTGTACTTCTACAACGTTTACTCGAATCAATGTCAGCGCGTATGCAATACCGTCATGGACTGAATTTCAGCCATAGAGCAAATGCAGTACTTAATGACG